ATCGCGTCCCACTGTCCTCGTATCGTCTCCCGGTGGAGTGGTCACTCACCTGTTGCCGAGCGACACGTCGGACCGTGGACTGTCAAAATCTACGTGGCATGGTCCGCCAACGGTACCCCTCGGTTTTCGGCGTTTCACTCGCGTCGACGGCGCTGGGAAGGTCCGAAGGTCCTACCGACGGTGCCGGCGGTCGAAGGGAACGCTGGGCGAGCTAACCTCTCGCCTCGGGTGTCCTACGCGCCGAAAATGGAGAGGACGGCTGTCGAGGATTCACTGAACCAGCCTCCGAGAGATCCCCCGGACACGCACACGCCTGGCCGCGCCGCTGGAACGATGGGCAGTCCGGCTATTGCCTTGTCTCGGGGACCTTCTGACATAAGAATGGAACGTGGTGCCGGTTTGTAGAAGTGAAAGAAGCTGCGCGCGCCACCGGACATTGCATCTTCGTTTCTTCAGCAGGGGCAGGCCTCGATCTTCCTTCTCCACCTGTTCCCGCTCCTGAGCCGCTCCGGCAGAAAATTCAAACTCGCCGGCTCGGCTGGATCCGGACTCGCCTCGTGTTCCGCCCGTGAATTTCCAAGGAAACCCGCGCGAGCCGGTAATTTCTCGGGGGATCCTCGGGGGAGGGGACCTCGGCGTGTGGTGATTCTCAAGGGAAACCGGAAACAACGGGTTTCATGGAATCTTTCGAGTATCGCGGTTCTTGAATAAACGCGGGATTCTCTCCGCCAGTAGAGTTGTGTTTTATCTTTGATGAATTGCTTTCTTGCCGACGCTGATGATCGATTCGATGTTCTATTTTGTTAGGATTAGGGGGATTGGTAGATCGGTGTGAATGTTGTAGAGGTAAGTGGTCGCTTCTAAGTTATAACGATGTAGTCTTCCGACGAAGCGCCTTCTCTTAACATGGGAATTAAGAACCACTCGATTGTCGGAATCTCACGCCACGCGAGCGAGACAACGGAGAATTGTTAACACGAATCGAGACACTTTTCAAAGAACCACTTACCGTAACACGAGTCGAGCGTTGTACACCGACCGACCGACACTCCACTGTTGTGCTTATTTTTGCAACGAGGAAAACGATCGATCTCATTACCACGGTGTCTGAGTATATAGTCTCCAAGCGTACTCTCGCAATCAGGCAATCTATATATAATCGCGTTGTTTAGATTACAAAATTCCTCCTTATTTTCTACAGGCATTATCTCCCGGGATCTCCGAGGAACCGGTCCGAGAGATTAACCGTCCTATTACACGAAATTCGTCATCCCCGGCGAGGATGTTTTCCCCGATAACGAAGCGGATACAATTCGACGGTGTAAACAGAATAGATATCTTTATTGAAAGCATGAAGCAACAAGTTCGCATACTGATTCGAAGAGTCGCGCAATTATTTCGAGAATATTCCTTGTTTTGCCAATGTTATCTTCGACTCTTCTCCGATACAGAGTCGCGGCACGTCTGTCGGCTGCCGAGCCCGCATGCAAATTAATTTGTGCAACGATTAGATTAACAATTCTAATCGGGAACCGCTCGCCAAAGGTGGCGAATCTCTAATCGAGCGAATCAGCGATGATCGCCTCCCGTGAAAGCGTCTTGCACAACGAGCCGCTCGGGTCCAATTAACGAGGAAACGCGGATGGCAAGATTGGCGTAGGCCATTTTGCACGATTTACGCAGCACGGAGGTCCTCATCCGAATCAGCGGGCGCGGATTGCCTCACAGCTTGCACGACTGCTAGAGAAAGTGCCTTACCTTCGATCACCATCCGTGCCGTCCGCTAACCGTGCATAGCTTTAGTCTTGCTTCGGCCTTCGTTCACTGCTCATCCTACTACGAAAAACCAGTGACCAGCTAGCGTGGAAGCCGCTAGGCTGCCGAGTAGAACCAAGAAAACGCGGCTCGTCGCGAATAATGCGGTATCGCGGCGTAGAGCAACTTTGATCATCGAACGCGCATATCACCGACTACGCGAGTGACACCGAAACTTTTCAAGAATCTAGGTAACGTTCGCGTCTCGCCTGTATTTGAACAGCGTATCGCGTGTCGATACGATTCCGCGTTCCCCATTTATCCCAGATAAGAATTACTCAACCGCGCTGCATAGGAATCGCAGCTTTCGATAAATAACGGTCGATCGACGCGTTCCCCATTGGCAGATTTCTCGCTTCTAATACTCTCCGCTAGTGAAAGGCACAAAAATTAGGAAAATCGTTCTAGTACGTTAATCCTGCAACGATCTGTTGTTCGAAACGAAGAACCTTCCGTTAAAGAAGTCGCAATCAAGTGTTTTGCAAGAAAGTATTCGAAGAAACGTGGATTCGCGTCGGTCGCGAATGTACTCAAACGTTTCCTGCCGTCGAAATATTTCACTAACCGAAAAGTGAGCCGACAGTGGCTTATCAGACACTTCCTCCGTGTTCAAGGGTAATATCCACCTGTAATCTCGAGTACCTTCGACCGTCTACCGTCGTTTGTTCGGATAACAGCGAGCGCGTTGCTCGAAATCGATCAAAAACGCGGCGAATATCGTCGAGTCGACTCGCGGGCCGACCTGATTAAGGAAAACGAATCTTTGTTATTGTTGAAGGAAAATGATGCTGCAATTAGCGTTATGGTTGTTGATCGGCTTCCTCGTTCTCTGGCTGCTGATTAACGTCATTCGAGTTGTTTCCGCTTTCCGGGAAATTTTCATGCCGATCCTGGACTCGAGTCCCGTCGATCTGAAGACGAAGTTCGGCGAGTGGGCCGGTGAGTAATCGATCACCGATGATCCCGATGTTCCGATTCTCATTGATCCCTTGAAATCGCCGGTGAAATTGCAGTGGTCACCGGGTCTACCGACGGCATCGGCAAAGCGTACGCGAAAGAGTTGGCCGCCAGAGACGTGAATCTGGTGCTGATCAGCCGAACGTTGGAGAAGCTGGAGAAGACCAGGGACGAGATCCTGCAGGACAACCCGAAGATCGAGGTGAAGATCATAGTGGCGGACTACTCCAAAGGGAGAGAGGTCTTCGACAAGCTGAAGGGACAGCTGGAGGACATTCCCATCGGAATCTTGGGTAATTCGCTTCGAGCTTCCGGAAGCCGGCAATTTCAATTGGGCTCGAGTCGTTGAGAGTGCAAGGGATTTGCGAGTGGCTGGTGTGCGGTTCTTAACCTTTCGACGAGTATTGTCCAGGTTCATACGCCTATCAAAAGCTGCAATCGAATCGAAATTTCAAAAGCTTAGATCAGTGATTGTTCAACTTCGATAGTAAACGATCAGTGCGTAGTTCTCTTGTTGCTTCTAGAAATCTGTCCATAGAGCCTAAGTTAGATGGTCTGCAACGGTATGAATGGGAGAATCTAGCGAGCGTTTGTTTTAGAGATTCCGATGCCCGTCGTGGCACGAGTATTGACATTAGCATCTCATTAGCGACCGGCGTGTAATTTTCAGTGAACAACGTCGGCAAGATGTACGAGTATCCGATGTACTTCAGCGAGGTGCCGGAGGACGATCTGTGGAGCATCATCAACATAAACATCGGCGCCACCACGATGATGACGCGACTGGTCATCGACGAAATGCGGAAACGCGGGAAAGGCGCGATCGTGAACATCTCCTCTGGCTCGGAGATACAACCGTTGGCTTTGATGACGGTGTACGCCGCGACGAAGGTGTACATCAAAAGCCTGTCGGAAGCCCTCAGAGTCGAGTACTCGAGATTCGGTTTAACCGTGCAACACCTGACGCCGTTCTTCGTCACCACGAAGATGAACGCTTTCAGCGACAAGCTGCAGGTAACGTGATGATCATACATAGCATGATTACTAACGGTTGCCACGGTAATCTTCAACGTTTCGCGTAGATCGATTCTTTCGTGGCAAATGAATAAACGATTATCAATCGTTCGGTGTGATAATCTTGTGTATTGTCACTGGATAATCACGTAAATACCCAGACGATAAATTATATTACAGTGATAATAAGTTATTATTAACATTACAATAGTGGTAACAACTGGACGACAGTAAATGATTATATTTACGCTATAAAATATTTCTATTCGACGTCGGGCGTTTAAGGAATTCTAGTCGTTCGAAAGCAATTGGGAAACGCTGGTCATCGCCATCGCGGTTAACGCGTTAATTTATTTCGAGAACGAGATAGAAACGATTTAAATAGCAAATGAAACGGGGGAATTGCACCGTTAGAATAAATATTGCTCGCACGGGCGGGGTTCGGGTTCGACTAACCGCTGTTAGGAAATCCGAGTAGCATAAAATGAAAACGAAGCGAACGCAACATTGCGAGTGTGCGCGGTGAAACGCGCCGCGCTGTGTTGAAATTCAACGATTTCGAAAGGCGTTGTCGGAATTCGTAATTGTTACAGGTCTCCAATATTTTTGTGCCTAACGCCGCCACTTATGCCAGAAACGCGATCAACACCCTCGGGAAACTGGACACGAGTACGGGTTATTGGAGCCACGGTATCCAAATGATTCTCGCGCTGATCGTACCTGTCCAAATCAGAACGAAGGTTGCGCTGTTCGTAGCTCAGATTCTTAGGAAGGATTACTTGAAACAACAGAAAAACAATTAAACGAGCGCGCACGCGCGCCTCAATTTAATTCGTTGTTATTAATTTAATGTAGATTAACAGTTTTATCATTTTGTAATCGTCGCCGTTGCGTGAGAGAGGAATGTTACCGAAGAATTTATGTAAAGAATAATAAACGACAATAAAGGGAATGTTCGAACGGAAAGAATAACAGGGAATACTGGATCGAAATAAAATCGTGAATGATCGAATTGTTCGATTCAAATCTTGTTTTCCATTGGTACATGAAATCCATCCTGATCGATGTGCGTTAACGTATTTAATGTTTATTTGTACAATTGATACGTCTGTCAGTCGATTTTATGGATATCGATTTGTTTAATAATTATTGTTAATTATTACGACATTTGTTAACATTTCCATGAATTCGTTTTACGAGAAAGCAGCACGCAATGTGATCGCAATCCAGCGGATTCCAGATTTCGCAGCGGTGCGCAGAAGATCCGCAAAAACGATTCAAACTGAGCACCCTTGCGTACGCATACCCGGATCACGTGACCTGAGCGGTCAAATTCTCGGTAGAAGGTGACGCTTATTCTCTATCCATGCGCCGGGCAAGAAAGACGTTTGAATTTTCTATACGTTTCCCACGACGTGCAAGATGAGTCAGTAGTTCACCGAGCGGCTTGCACACGCAAGTGTGCCGACACAACTAAATAACCATGGAGTAAGTACCGTTTCGTACGTTAAGGGCTGTTTGAATTTTCACTCCGTCACTCGACGATCACACGGTGTCATGTCTGCCATTTTGTGAGTCATCTTTGCGCGGCCAAGTACCCAGTATTCGCGAACGACACTCCCTGGGAACGATAGATTTCCTGTCTCGTCGTGCTGCGATGTCGATGTTGCGTGCCATTTCGAAAATCGAAAATTTCCGTGTAACCATGCCGTGGGTACCATTGAAAAGTTCCGCCAGATGACATGGTTCGGTGTTGCGTCATGGGGAATATAGTTTGTCATTTTTCTGGTACTTTGAGCGAACGTTGCTACGACGATGGATCGTTTGTAAGTTATGTAACGAATCTAAGAAACGCTGCGTGTATTTAGTTTACTTGTAAATTTCCAAGTGGTTCGCTTGATTTAGGATCTTTGGTTCATGAATGCGTATAAACAATTCATTTCGCCTCATCTTTCCTTTTGCAAGTGTACACTTTAAGCTTAAAGTAATTTGGAGACCGAAACATTTCAACGATGGATATATTTTATTGTTCCTCGATACTCTGTGTTTAACTTGTTGCATTCTCCTATTTACATTTCTTTTTTTAACTGTTTCCTTTGCATTTTCAGAGCCAATATGGCGCTCATTTCGAGCTACGTCGCACAGACGACACAAATTTCTTTTCATCATTTATTAATACCTCTTGATTGGGCCTGCGTCAACAATGTCAACCAACCAGGACCAAGGGATGTGGATGTGGAAGTTGGAGCCAGTGTCCCCTAGTGGGACAGTGTCAACGGATGTAGAGGATGACTGGATTTTATTTAATGATAAGTCTGTAGATCCTACTAAAAATGTTGAATCTGTTATGTACGAAGACCACCCTACGCGGGCACAAGTTGCTACAAAACTTTTAGAAGAATTGGACGAGTGGATTAAGGAAGGTAAGTCCCCCTATTATTCCTCAATTATTAGTAATAATATTTCATGGACATGGTCTCTATGTAAATAACAGCAAACGATTCCCTTGGTGATAAAAATGTATTTTTATTTTATCTTGTTACTATCTTCTACTTCAATATAAAGTAAGAGTACATTATTCCTATATAAAAATTAAATAAGACACAAACTATTAATTTTATCATTTAACTCAAATGAAACCACTTCGTATTACCATTTATACGAGAAATCATCTAACAAAAAAATTCATAGATGATCAGCATTACCAATAGAAGTAAAAATACATTAAATAATCATTCCCATTGCAAAATTGCACATAGTCCTAGTCCAACTACAAGTGAGAACTAATAACTATTAAATATTATTACACAAGTACACTTAAAATAAATACATGAATTTATTTAATAATCTGACATATTGTGATCTTGCTTAGTAGGGTGACAGTTGACTCCTACACAATACATATACATAGTCCCCAAACAAGTCCGGGGGTTGAAAATTAGCCGCAGTCGCGTTGGTACGATTCTAAGATTATCACCGCACATGGCGTCTGAAACGAACATTAGATACCAACGATACCGATATGCCTTTAAATATCGGACTGTGTAAAAGTAGGCGAGCACTTGCAGCTCGGTCTTACGCATGCATCTATTAAGCCCAGCGTCCCCTAGTTTTCGAAGCTCTGCATTGGAAAAGGACAGAAGTTAACGCTGAACGCACATTTTATCCGGCAGCATTCTCTACGCCCGTATCGCTTTCATTCTTCCCGCTTCCTCCAAGCGTGTATCTTGTTTTTCTTTCTTTCTTTTTCTGAAAAAGAGAGTGGGACAAACTGGTTAACCTCTATACAAACTACTTTGGTTGAAGGCCGATAGGGGAATGACGTGTGTTTAGTTGCGTTGGAGTAGGGGCGACAGAGGGGAAAGTCCAAAGATAAGCAGGAGTGGTTCTCGCAGTATTGCAAACCGATCGTACGATTCCGTCGATTAGTCTTCGTCACGAGTTAACTTTACTGACAATACTTGATCGTTTCCCGGGCTCGCCGCGCTTTGTTATTGTTTAAAGCGTACAAATATTCCCGTTCGTTCACTTCTGTGGTACCAGCGTCGGTGTTGCGCGTTCGTGGGCAACGAAATCTGCTAGACCCACAGCTTTTCTGTACGTGTCCCGAGGACCGTGTCCAGTGATCTTAATACGAAAAATCGAATGGTCCCAAACTTGACTGTACAGTGCGCTGTCGTACGGTTGGCTATGTTCGAACGGTAACAACGTGCCGTAAATACCGATATACACGAGAACCATCGATCCTATTTGGGACGTGATTTTTTCGTAACATACGTTAGGCGGTCCACACGTGTTGCACGAGATTTTCAAGAAATAACGGAACATTTAAATAACAAGAATCGCTCTGGGATTTAATTCAAAACTATTCCGGGGACGTGAAGAGACAATTGTGCCCGGGGACATCTTTAGATAGGATCGTTGTCGATTCGCCGATCGATGAGAAGTGATTGGTGAAGTGCATAATATTCATGGACATCTAGTTGATATCGAACCGCGAAGAGAGGAAAAAGATTGGAGTCAATCGAGCGCTAATAGAACGATACTGGCATCTTTAAAAGTGTTTCAAGAAAACGACGGATTGTCTCGATGCCCGAGTGTGCTAATGTTGTATGATAGCATGCAGTTCGCATATCGGTACACGTGGAACCGAGAGATTATTGTCAATTCCCAAAAATTGGTAAAAAGACGTTGAACTGGTACGGCGTGTGACCTTCCAAGTGAACTCGGCTGCTTCACATCAAAAACTATATACCATACCGTGCTTCAAGAACATTTACTACCATTTCTATATATATATACATATATATAAATATACGTATTTTTTTTTATTATTATTATATACACGCATATATTACGTTTTCAAATAAAATTATTCACACGAAAACACTCTACACGTGATAATGGCTGCTATATGTTACAGTGGTACGTTTCCTTTCGCTTACAAGATTCCCCTCTCTTTCTAGCGTTCACTTCGATTGAAAAATATCTTTATTACGCATATCAAAGCACTGTTGCCACATTGTTTGCATTATCGTACCGTAGAACTGGATCAAAATGTGTTTAAATGTAATCGTTGTCGAATTAATTAATTATATATATCACGAGAAATATTTCTCTAAATACCGTGTCGCGTAGGTGGAATCATCGGCGCGACCACGAATTCGTACCATATTTTTTTTATGAATCTTTGATCGAAAAATGGTATTTTGTACTGTGTGACGTTTCGAGAACTTTTTCAGCTGACTTGTATCCAAACGAACGAGAAGTATAGAGAAAAGTTCATTCTAAATGTGTATCAAATGATTTTGCGGGTTTATTGTTCGCTATAATTGCAACGACTGGGAGAAAAAAAATAAAACTAAATAATGTAAAATGCTTCTTGGGTATATTATTAATGGCAATTCGTTAATTCCGCTTAAGGATATAATTGTACTATGTACTTATATAAATCTTTATATTTAAAAAAATTCTTATCTAACCCCTTGCCCTCTGCATTTACATGAAGATAACTTCCACATTTCAAGTAAAGCTTGATCAAAGTTTCATAAAGAAATAGGTTAGGGGTAGTTTATCAAACATTAATACAGTAATATACATACAATTTGTAAAAAGTAGTTTTCAATAATAAAAGTTTAAATGTGATAGTTAAAACTACTTGATTATAATATGTCAACGATTTGAATGTTTCTTGTGTATATTTTTATTAGGCACTTTATTTTCTGAATTTAATCAACATGTAGAGTAAAATTTCTACTTTGTTAAACAGAAATTAAATCTTTATTGCAAACTACATTCTTGTGCTCTAATATCAGGCTGTGCTCTAAATAACGTATCCACAAGTGTTGCAGCAAATGTGTATTGGTAGCCAAAGAAATTGCAAATCAAGAACTTGTTTTTCTAGTTGAGCTGGTAACGTCCATGAAATTATATATACATCAATGTACCACTCCTACTTATTGTTCATGCAAGACAAGTAAAAGTACTGTTAACTTCCATGTATATCTTGATAAGTTCTACAAAATATTTCAGATATTGTATTTTGAATTTAATTAAAAATTAATATAATCTATAATTTTACTACATTATGATTATAAATAGGTATATATATATATATATATATATATATTTTCATGTTTGATCATCAGCACCTGATAATGTGGTATCAATGCTTTGTTTGTTTGATATGAAATTTGTAAGCACCAAAATCAATGACCAGTGTAAAAGCAACAAACATTATGTATGCTTTTTTTAACTTTAAGGATTAAAGATAGCAGTTTGTATTTTTATTAAACATTTTTTTCCCTTACAGAACCTTTTTCGGATTGGTTGGAAGAAAAGATAGAATTACCTATTTTTGAGGAATTACCGGTTCCTGAAAATGGACATCTTAAACCAACCCCATATAATGAAGTTTCAAAGATACATCAGCAAGACGATACCCAAACACTACTGCAAGAGTTTGAGACAGTTCTAGGAGATGTGGAAGCTTGCCATCAAATAGTCCCTACATCGAGTTCTACGCTCACACCACCTCAATCACCGCCGCCGCCGCCGCCACCGCCGCCGCATAAACCATTAAATGTGGATACTCAATTACTCATTACTTTACAACCTGTACAACCGTTATACTCGAATCATCAATCCATGTATGATGTGGTAATACCTGAAGAAAAAACATATACTAACGAAGTACCTGTGCAATGGAATCCAAAAAATATAGCATTAGATCCTTTAAATACAGACGTTGCGCATGACTTAGCTGTGGTGGATGAATATGTACGATTACAAACCGAGGATATCCCACCATCTAGTCCATGCACCAGTTCAGGTGGTAGTTACACATCATCGGAAGATTCTGTAGACGATCCAGATTGGATTTTCGAATCTACAAGAAAATGTACAAAACAATCAACAAGCGGTTCATCGCGAAGTCGTCAAAAACCTTACTCCCGTCCGTCCTTGGAAGACAAAAAGGTGCGGAAAAAGGAGCAAAATAAAAACGCGGCGACACGTTATAGACAAAAGAAAAAACAAGAAATAAAAGAGATATTGGGAGAAGAACGCGAACTCGCGGATCATAATGAGAAATTGAAAAATCAAGTGAAAGACTTGCAGCGAGAGATTGGGTACTTAAAAGGCTTGATGAGAGACTTATTTAAAGCCAAGGGTTTAATTAAGTAATCCATTTATCGATCGTAGTTATGTTTAATTATTTTTATTCAATTTATTAACTATATTCTTTTGACACTAACTATTTTACAATGAACCTAATAATGTATTATAATACATAGACTTAGATTACTGATTGTTATCTCCACTTTTTCTCAACTAGCAACGTATTTGAACATAAATCTAAAGTCTATCACAGCTTCTTAGTAGGACTACAGAACTATCATCGTGTAATCCATAAAGTGTGCTCCATCTCTTGATTTACCGATGGTCCATTAAGATTAGCAAATAAGATGCATTAAATAACCAAAGAATTAACGAAGTGTGTACAACCTTATGAAACTCCTTATCGAGTGGAAACTTGTTGTTGCTCCGAATTCTGCGAGTAATCTAATGCACCTTAATGACGCAAATCTTTTCATTCCAAACAATTCTAACCCAATCAAGTTATGAGTTTTCTTACGAAGAATTATTGTATTAGAAAAGTAATAAATGGGTTATTGTGTAATAAACATCGATGTCATTATCAAAAATATCCTCATTTTCTAAATCCCTAATAATTTCGAGAATCAAAACTGTTGTTGTACTGCTTAAAGATACATTACTGAAAAGGAAAGAATATATTTATTGAATAAAACTTTACGAAATCCATATATTCTTATCATTGCCAGTGCGATAAAATACACCATTATCGTATTTTTTAAAAAGTTATACCATCAACCAGATAACTACCTTTTAATTAGTTGTGTCATTACGAAAGTACATTTACAAGACTATTACGCAATTTTATAGCAGAAAATTGTACTTTTACATTTCTCTCCTAAGTGTAATCTTTCAACTTCCACCGCTAAAATTTTATTCGTTAATGAGGGGGAAACGAGTAATATTTTATCGTTTATCAATTATTATTTATGTACAAATAACAGAACTATGTTTCACATAACAGAATTAGATATATTAGAATTTTATATATGACTCAAATATTTGTATTCATATTCTTTTTAACATTAAATAAATAATTGCTTGTGTTTATATAGCATATGATCTAATCATATTCGAAATGTTCAAAAAATTTTGCAGAACAAGTGCAGACATAATGAACTCGAATTATAAAGTAACATATCTGTAATATTAATTACTTGCAGATCTATTACTAATTTTATGGTACACACAATTAGACAATAGCAAATAACTTGCTAATTCAATTTTCTAACATAATTTTTAGCTTGTCATTTTTAAATTACATGATATATGCATTAAACAATTACAATTATTTACATACACACGTTGTTTGTATAATCCAAAAATAAGTTTGATATATACATATGCATTTCTGTGTAAATATACATACATACATATGGTGTACGTATATTTATGTGTATGCATATGTTTATATATGATTTATACACCTTGTTCAAAAACTTGCATGTTTTACAGAACTTATTTGATTTTCCATTTCCTGCTGTATTGTGAATGAATTATGAAAAATGCACCTTTATTACATAACTGTAATTACGTGTGTGTACGCGTTGCATATAATTAACAAAAAAAAAATAGTTTTACACCATAATGTCAAATACTATTTTAGTTTATGTAAAGCCTACATTTTTCGTTCATTTCCGATAGAAACATACACTTAATTTAACATAGCATGCTATGATTATCATCAGAAAATGGTTTACAGTATATTTAATAATTAATGGATTGCAGTATAATTATGTAATTTTATTCAGTATACATTGTAACATACTGCTTTTCCGCTATTCTTGGTCTACAGCCTATTATGAATTCGAAAAGTTGAATTTCGATAACATTACAACATGTACAGAGCAATGTTCTTTTAAATCAAAAAATCGTATTTATAATAAGTATATCATTAATAGTAAATATATTAAATATCTATTAAGAATGGAATTTACAAGTATTCTAAATTTTACATTTATCGTGGATATTGTAGAACTTATAGTCTACTTAATTATTTATATGTATCTATGGTAATGTACATGTAATATACATGTAATTAATTCTGCAATCTAATAGAAAAAACACTCACAAAGAAATTATTACGAACAAGTTGTGCTACGCAACCAATAGTCAATAATAGTTCGTTGAAATTATGCTTCTGCTTTGCGGTTTCAGAACAGACATACATATAGATATACATTGTTCAGTTATTCGTTTATGCCTGTACTTGCGTGTACTTGCAAAATTCTTAAGTTAGACATAGAATAAAAGAACATTAAAAGTACATGAAAATAATGCTGAGTATTCCTAACAATTGTTACAAAATTATATTGAAAGCAAATCACGTAAGTATTAAAAAAAAAATTATCATTTGGTAAAAAATGATTTTTCAGATATGGCAGTACAAATATAAATATAAATTTCTGGAATGTTCTATGTAAAGTTCGTGAATATTTATGATTTGAATAATCGAACGTGTTTAAATGTAAGAAAAATAAAATATCATTATTACCTTTCAAAATGTAACTTAATAACTGTTGAAAAACAATGAAATATTAAGTAACTTTCAGTAAACTTTTATAAGTTTCTTACTTAAAGAACGATCATGCTGTAAATATTTACAACTACATGAAAATATTTCTGTGAATTCAAAGATAACAGAGTCAAAGTACCCCTTCGTAAAAAGTAATATTCTTAGATAGTACAAAAAGAAAATATTAACCCCTTTCACAAAAAGTAAAAACATTTAAAAAATGTGTTTAACATTAAGAAATATTATAGCACTTTTAGATTCAATGTATATCTATATAAGTCGCCAATAATATCCATATATTTAATAATATAATTTAATTATTTATCATACTGAATAGAAACAACTGGAGATATTGAAAAATTTTTAGAGTTCCTATGTTGCAGTATCGCCTTCTTCCTGTTCAAGTCTAGAAGAACCACAAACACGACATTTACAACCGACAATACAAGGCGCAGCCAATAAAAGTAACGGCGATGCGATAAGCAAGAGTAACCCAAATCCAGCAAAAATTCCAATGACTTGTGTTCTGTGCCAAATGACCGACGCACGCGAATGACCCAATTTATTTTTACATGGTCCTTTGTCGTAATGTCGCAATAAAAAGTCATCCTGTTGTGTTTACACAATTATAAAATTGAATAATTTTTATGTGAAATGGTTAATATCACTATGATTCTCAACATTATAAGTAATCATACTTACATCTAAAGAAGCTAAACAATACCAGCAAAAAACATGTTTACACCTCTTGCACATCATTTGAGCACATCCTTCATCTTTTTCAATAGGTACAGAACACATAGGACAGCATTTTATATGGTCACCATCAAATGGTATACCTAATGAAAGATCGGAACAGGGACCACTATGCCAAGACTCTCTACATATAGAACAAAAATCTATAGAGCAATTAGGACAATGAACAGGTCCAACAGCAGTTCCATTTGAACCAGCAGCATTTATTGGACATATTGTTTCACAACCAGCACGTGGGCACCAGGCACGTGCTTTATCCATAGATACATCTGGATAGTACGTGAAAACAATTAAATTCTTTTATCAAGACTTATGCAACAATAATTAAAAACTTGCGTATTAAACATTATGTACCTCTATTTAATCGAAATTTATGATGTTTTTCCATAAGTTCAGGGGTAACAAGGCTTGCTATTTCCTTTATAGAAAGTATTGCTCCATGCTCGCATTGTGCATCAGGACAACTGATTTCATATGCACCTTCTTCAATTTCAAATTCAATGTATGCTTTCATGCACTGAAATATAATAATATGTAGTATATATTCTCTTCAATAACTTTCTATCAAGAGAAGAATAATACTTACATCTTTACAGTAGGAACAACCACAGGCTTCTATTTTAAATGTTTTGGAAAGAGAAGTTTCAACAAGACATAATTTACAAAAAATGCGTCCGAGCACTTGTTGAGAACCTGCAGGAACAAAATTGCCTGCGGCCAAACTATAACGTGAACTTGATGCCAATGATAACAAACTGGAGCATCGGGAGCATACTCGACTACGATTTATAGGTCTGCCTTCTAAAGCTGAAGTACTCAAACCAACTGCAGTTTCACATTTTCTCAACACACCTGGTCCTAAGCTCAACCAACTACTACCACGAGCTTCCAAACTTGCACTACTTTCGGGTCTAAGTAAAGGCGCATCTACTCCTTTTCCTAATGTTGTCCTTTCAGTTAGAGAAAGATTTACAACGCTCGCTTCTTTGCGTAGCAATGGCAATCTGACTCCAGTTAATTTATTGGATTTTTCAACCTTTTTCTGATTGGTTGCAATTTTGGTAGAAGGGTTTACAGATGTCACAGAGCTGGTGGCAGTACCCATATCCATTAGTGGAGCTCGTCGTACGACGAGCGAATGTAGGTTGGGCATCCCCTAATTATCAATCAAAATTTCATTAAGAGTTGCAGGCAAAAACTGTGGCTACTGACTTTCTGTAAACAATTTGCAGGAGTGGTTGCTTGCCATGTAACAAATGACATAGATAAATCATGAAAACTAAATATGTCACACCCACAAAATGATTTGCCACTGTATACTTGAATTCATTCATTATGGCAAAACTTCTTAATATTTGTCATATTCCGCTCTTTTTCCGTTATTCCCATACCGTTCTTCTTCATGTAATTTCAAGGTGATTAGATACGATATTGATTTCTATTAAGCAGTTACGACTCAACGTTCACAAAATATTTGCATTTCAATATAAATCTGTTGACACACGAAATATTTAATCTTGAAAAATGTATCCCTTTCCGACAGTTGACTCAACGATAAAAATAATAGTCAACAATATACATATGAACACACACCTCTGAATGAATTGTTAATCGGTAATGAAATAACTGAAAAATATCGTTGTCTTTGAACAATATTTATGTTGTGCTTGTCAATCCGAGATATATCGCGAAAGTAAGAAAATTGCTACGTAATATTTCACACATACTCATTATCCAAAGGAATGCGTATCTATTGACAATTCGAACATCATTTCGTTCGAATGCGCTTCGATTATATCGTCTTTTTTCTAATTTCACGGACTATTCATGTTCTGTGTCACAAAGTGCAGCAAACAGTGTACACAAATTACCGATTAACTACTTCCGCCCCCACTTGCTTCGCACTTTTTCTCAAAGTATCGGAAAAAAAGATTATCACTCTACGTCTGTACGGTGATATCTTTACAGAAATCGTATTTGTATCGTGTTTGACATAATATATATCCTTGTGACTTATTTGACGCATATGAGGAATACAGGATAAAGGCAAAGCTGTGCTAATACATCATCATACAACGGGAAATGAAAAATTCTCTCGAATTGAAATTTCGAAAGCAAGAAAATTTCTATCACAACATTTTTCCTAAAATCTCACATCTTTCTTAATAATGACAACAGTAAGTAACAATTTATTGAAACATTTTATTCGTTGGTTATTTTTTGGCTTGTATAATTAGGATTGCTACTGCGCGTAGATAACAGGTTTCGAGATAACAGACGTTTTTATTATTTTTATATAACATACACTTTCCTTTTTTACCATATAATGTTGTTACCATGTGTTTGATAAATTTACCAATGCAACAGACATATTAACGATTAACGCTTCGTGAATCTTCGAACCGTAGAACATTTATATAAATGATAAAAATAATCGATTTGTTTAGTTGATAGAATCAAAAAACAATTGAATATTTCTCACCAATTCATGTTTTATGGTTGCTTTGCACATTGCAATCTCTAAATTAATTACGACGAAATAAAAATCTAAATTCCGCACACGTACGTAATGCTAATTCGCATTCACAGAACTTGATGTTTCCGTTACTGCAGTTAAATTGTACAAACGAGCGGGAAATTTAATTTAAAACAGCATCAATGGCGTATGAAATATTTACGTTATCCTTTTATTTATCGGCACGTTTAAATGTATAATAAAAAAGAAGTTTGACTTATAAATCTGAATATCAGTAAAGCCGTGTATTTTTAGAATTGTTGACGAGATCAATGTTCTCACATTTTTAATAAAGTCTTGAAAAATTCGATAATCTCATTTTTGAAAAGGAACTTATTTCTAAACAATCAACATATATAAAATATCTTAGGAATCGTTCTCTATTAAAAATTTATCTAGAAAATGAACAATCACTTTATTATACATTTTTATCACACAAAAATGAGTGAAACTTATTATATAAAGTATTAGATAATCATGTTTATGGATCATATATATTCCGATTACAGATGTTGAATATCAGAATATATAAATTTTAATATTTACAAACACTAATGCTTATGCTTTTATATATATATATATATATATATATATAT